GCTCCCTCAGGCTCCCTCAGCTCCCTCAGGCCCCGCCCCTTTCCCCGCCCCGCCCCTCCCCGGCCCCGCCCCGCGCTCCCCTCACGCTGCCCCAAGATGGCGGCGCCCTTGGCGCTGCAGCTGCAGGAGCTGCTCGACCCCCGGCCGTGCCCGCGGGACCCCGAGGACGACGCGGAGGAAGGTGCGGGAGGACCGGGAGAGGGGTGGGTTTGGCACCGCGGCCGGCGGGGGCGGCAGGGGAGCGGTAGGGGCGGGGTAGTGCGCTGCCGGAGCGGCCGCACGTGGCGCCGCGGCGGCGTGAGGSGGGCTCGGGCCCCGGTGGCCCGGGCTGCGGGCGGAACGCGGCGCTCCCGCTGTGCCCCCGGCCCCGGGGTGACCTCAGGGATCGGGGCTGTGTTAGGCATAGCTTGGTTCTTCTCTGCGATCTGTGTGAGAGCCGTGGTRTGCTGTCAGAAACACCTCAGTAATCTCTGAGGCAGTCACCGCCGTCAGCAGAGGCGCCTTCCCATTTCAGGAAGCACGATTTTGTTCCGGACTTCGCAGAATCCCAGACTGGTTTAAGGTCCTTAAGGAAGGACCTTAAAGGGCATCCAGTGCCACCCYTGCCATGGCAGAGACACCTTCCACTGTCCCACAGCTGCTCTGGGGACATCTTCACCCTGTGGTGGTGCCAAAACTGGAAATTCCAGGAGACCCTGCAGTCCCACAGAAGCCGTTTTTTTCTGTCCCTCTTGCCCAACCGCTCCTCGGTGCCCGCATTTTGCCATTCTCTTCTCTCTGCAGTGACTGTAGAGCAGATTGTGTTGGTTGGTTATGAGCAGGAGGTTTTYTTGCCCCCCTCAGCCTCAAACAAACACTCCGAGTGAGGCATTAACGTTTGTAAACACACATTAAGAGCACTCAGCGATTTGAGTCGCTCGATTGCCTGAACAAAGCTAACCCTGTAATTTGGCACRGGGTGTCTTGCACATGAATGAAGGMAGGGAGGGAGGATGGTGGGATGAGTTCTCTGGGCTGGRCTGCTCTGCTCTGCCTCCTGGAGAAGATGGGGATGAAGGAGGGTAAATAACCACAGTGAAATTATTTCCTCTGCTGAGCTTTTCTGAAATATTTATGTATTTTTGTGGTGTGTATATGTAGCAGGAGGCCAAAGTGCATCTGAATTGGAGTTTTCCTCTTTTAATCTGCAAGCATGAAGCTTTGCAGAGCCCTCCACGTGAAGAGCTGCTCTTCTCACAAGACCCTCCTGCATCCTTAGGAGGGCTTGGACAGGCTTAGTTTGTGCTCTGCTTCATGCAGTAACCTTTCCCCCTTGCAGGAAATTATTTGTGTGGCTTTTCTGTGCTTCTCAAAGCCACACTATTCCATGATTTCTGTTCCATGTGCACTGCATTGTTGCTAGAGGAGTTTTTCCAGGGCTCCTTCCTGCCAATGCTCCTTCTAGACTGGAATTCAGCTCAGTTTAGACACCATTTCCCTGTTTTTTTTTCATCCACAGCTACAGTTGCTAAAGTGATTGAYAGATTTGAGGATGAAACCACAGATGACATTTTGCCTGTTGGTAATATCAGGAAAAGAGCTTCAGCCTCTCTCCTGGAAGCTGATAAGAGGTACAGTGGAAAAGCTACATCTCGRAAAGCTCTGCAGGAAGAGCTCTGGGGAGATGCTCTGGCTGAAGAAGGATCTGGTGAGAAATCTCATTTTTCTTCCCCTTTTTACTGGGCTGCACAAAATATGATGTCAGCATGTGACTGAGCATGTCGAGCCTCAGGGCTCTGTTACAGGGCAAGGAACAGCTGCAATTAAGTTGGACATCAAACAGCCCAAACCATAGCTATTGCTGCAAAGTGACACRTATTTCTGCTAATTAATAACGTTTTTCTCTCATTTATTAGCTGARGAAGCTGAAGATGACTGGTACAGTGGCAGTGAAGGCTCAGAAGAGGATGACAGTGTTGGCTCTAAGGCCAGGGAGAAGCCCAGCAGTGCTGGCAGTGAGCAGGAGGATGACTTGGGAGATGATGAAGAGGAGGATCCATCCAAGGCCAAGGCACCAAAGTTCACCTTCCAGAATATCACAGACTTTGAGAAGTTTACAGAGGGGATGGATGATGCAGGGAGCAGTGAAGGGGAGGGTGATGATGAGGATGAAGATGAAGATGAAGATGAAGCTGACATGGAAGGAAGCGAGGAGGAAGAATATGGGAGTGAAAACCACGACGCCGGAAAGGAAACCAAAGACAGTGAAGATGATGGGGGGGTGATGACCTTCTCCAGAGCACAGGAGTCTGAAGAAGTGGAGAAGGGCAAAGCTGTGAGGAACCAGCTAGGTTTGTGCATGTTTGCTGTGTGTTTGCTGTCCCTTCACTGRCAGTGTGAACCCAGCCATGCTGGGYTACCACACCTCAGCRCARTAACGTGCTGTGAGCAYCCTGCATGGCCATGCTACAGCAGCCACAGGTTTTTACAGATGTTCTGCCAAATCTGCTGCTGCAAAAGTTCCCTTTGTGAATTGTGTTTATGCACTGGCTGAGCTGAACCAGTGCTGAATATCCTCATGGTGCCATTGGGACAGGGCCTTCCTGCACTGGTCCTGCTGTGATGCTGAGATCACTTTTTTTCAAAATATGACACCCACAATGCCATTTCTTGCTGTCTGAGCTGTTAAACTATCAAACCTCCGTTTGCAGACTGTCCTTTTAAACAGCAGAGCAAAGGGATGGTTTGATTTGTGGGTCACAGAGYTGCTGCTGGGATTTGCTTTGTCCAGAGACAACTTTTGGCACCCATTTTGTGCTGGTCAGTGCATGCAMAGACTGCCCTGAGCAGGAGTAATGCAGCCCCAAGGGGAGGGCTTGAGCTGTGAGGTCCTTTAAAGGAATAAGTKCTCTGGCTTGCTAACTTTAATTCTTTTATTTCTCTTTTGTTGTGAAGCCCTGTGGGATCAGCTGATGGAAGGGAGGATCAAGATGCAGAAGGTGCTGATGACAGCCAACAGGCTCCCCCAGCCAGACACCTACCCCAGGTTCAAGAAGGAGGGGGGACAGGACTTTGACAACGCTGTGGAGAGCTGTAAGAGCCCTTTAATCTTTCTCCTTTGCTCCGACTCTTACAAACAATTGGTTTGGTTGTTGCTGTGCAGTGCAGAGCTGGGATGTTTTGTCCAGACACACCTCGTACCAGTTTTGTGCTGGGCCAGTGAGTACAAAGGTGTGCCCTAAGCAGGAGTAATGCAGCCCAAAGGAGAGGGTCTGTGCTGTTAAATTGGAGCTGCCTCATCTGTTTCTTTCTGAGAATCACTGCTGATGGCACTGATCTGATGAGATCTGCAGTAGGTTCTCCAGTGTGAAGTCATAACGTGCAGGCACCAGATAAGGGCAAAGAACTCCGTTTCCGTGTGGTGTGGGTCTGTTTCAGTTTTATATCTGAACACCTTTTTTTACTGGCCTTGGGGTGAATGCACAGGGAGGGAGGTGTCCTTGATGGCCAGACAGCAGACACAAAATAACAGACACAAAGACACACTTATACACACACAAAAAGTAACTTCTTTATTCTAAAACAAACCTCTTTTATCCACTTTAGCAACTAATGCATACATTTGTGTCAAACATACATTAGTCAGTGAAGCTGTCACTTTCTACTCATCAGCATAAGATTAGTAAGTTTACAAAAGCTACAGTATTAATAATATTTATAATTATAAGCCACTTGCSTTATCAATTTTACATTCTAATCTCTTTTTCTCAAAGCAGCTAAGTTTTTCTCCCATACAAGCTGTTAACACTCCTCTACAGGGAGGTGTCTGGATCATCAGTCATGACCCTGCACTGTCCCCCTGCAGCAGGTTTTGGCTGTGCTCCTCTGCCTCACCCCTGACCCCAACAGAGCAGGTAAAGTTTACCTGCAGCTGCAGCAGGTGAGGTACTTTGTGCTTTAAAGTTGGYTCTGCTGCTTTAAATGAAGTGATTAAGGACAAAAAGGCAAACTCCCACCAATACTGTGCTGACCTTTCAGTGGAACACACATTATTAATGGCCTTAATGAGATGCATTACAAACTGCACCAGCTCCATGTTTCATTACAGGTCTAAGATGCAATATCATTAAAGACCTTTAACAGAAACAATGGTTGACATTTTGATATTTCCCATAAGCAAAATACATCCAAGAACATGGAGTGTAATGTCCCCAGTGCTGCAGAGGCCAATCCCTCAGCTCTGAGGGAAACTCCACTGCTAATAACTGCTTAATGATCCCCTCTTCACCTTCTCCTCATCATCTCAGCACAGAACTTGTAGGAGTTCACTCTGATATTCCTTCTAGCTTGGGTTTGTGCTCTKTAGTTCATCTGTGCAGGCAGAGAGAACATAAAGCTGGAGTGATCTGAGCAGTGTTGGCAGAGGAAACACTCAGGGTGGCAGATGGGAAATACTGAATTTAGGAACATTCCACTATTAYTGCTACACTTGTATGGGATGTTCTTCAGCCTTGGACAGGATTTGGGATAATCATGTCATTGGCACTGTTTTGGACTGGGTGATGYTCTCCTTTCAGGGAAGCCTCAGCATTTCTGTCCAAATCCACAAAATAAATCTGGCACATTTTCATCATCCTCATTGAACAGGAGGAAATCATTTGGTGTTYGAGTWKCACAAAGGAGTTGGTGCCAAAATCYCAGACTCTGGKTGAACCCTGCAGGATGCTGGAGGCAGGAAGCTCCCAGTGTGCTTGGAGCTGCTGGACCAGAGTTTTCCTRCAGTTTATCCCAAATCCTTCCATTTCTCATGAAATTTCTGCTCTCAGGAAGGCTGAATTTTTTGAATTTGAAAATGGTCCTTCATGTATTTTCCTCTTGGGTGTCTCCCACTGTTGTAGTGCAGGAATTCCCTGAGGGCTGGAGTATAATTGTATTAAAGAGTGGACAGCAGTGCTCCATCCATTTGCTCTTTTGAAGCCAAACCTGAGTAAAAATTGCAAGGTCATGCTCGTTTCCCAGATTTTGAGACTGGAGGTCACAAGACCTCAAGTGTTTAATTTATTATTTTGTAATCTTTTATGTTTTTTGTTTGTTTTTTGTTTTTTTTTTAATGTTACAGCATGCTTTGGACAACCTTAGATTCCTAAGATCTCAGGTTCTGGTAGATGATTTACTGCAAAATTGCTTATAAATTGAAGTAGAAAATGTTTTGCAGACCTGGCAGCTTTCAGGCTTCACACCCATTTGTCACCCAGCATTTCCCTTTGTGTATAGAACAAGAATTAATTAGGCTGCACTGCAGGAAAAGTTTATGGCCATAATTTATATAGGATGAATTTCTGTTTAAAGAGACAGCATTGCTTTGTTTGTGCTGTCTTACTTTTTATTTCCTTTTTTTTATTCCATCTTTAATTATATTCCAGATTTTTTGCTCTCACCCTTTTTACATACAAATGGGAGACCAAASTGTGGTCATGGAGCTCATGTTTATTCGTGTTTTGCACCCACTGAGAAAGTCTGGGTGGTTTTTARTGCTGAGCTCTGAGTGGCTGAGCCCTGAATGCAGCACAAATGTCCAATGTTTAATGCCCTGCACACACAAACCCTCCCAGCTCACAGTTCCAAGGTGCTGCTGCCTGGAGTGGGTTGGTTCTCCAAGACAGATTTGTATTCCCCTGCACTGCATCTTCCAGTCTGGTCCAGGSCTTGAGATGTTGCCTCTGTTTGGGGTCTTGCACGTTCAATTAATGTTTTTCATAATCAATGCAAGTCAGAATTTGCAATCTGCTCCTGATTTGCACATTAAAGAGACCCATTAATTAAAAATTCCAATCCCTGGCATGTTCCCGCAGGATCCCTGCATTATTTACATAGAAAAGGAGTGCAAGGTGCAAGTTTCTGTGCTGTGTCTGTGCACAGATTGCAGGCCTGCCACTCATATTTCACTGTGCTGGTGAGGGGCAGGGAGGMTGGAAGGGGATCTCATGAAATTGTCTCCAAAAATTACCTCAAGGGCAAGAAAGATCCAAAGAAGGGGTGGAAACAGTGTTAGTGAAGCCACATCCAGTGCCAGGAATTAAACAAGTTCCAAGGTTTGTGGCTTGTTGTGTTAAATCTTCTAAATAGAGTGATAAAAATCTCACAAATAAATGAGGGACAAGGAGGTAACAAGAGCTTTCAGACTGTGCTCCTGCCTGGAGCCATTCCCTGAGGTGCTGACCTGGTCCCGGGACAAATTCTGTGCCTTGGCACTTAACAGCATGTTTAGCACCTCTCTCTCTGAGTGCTTCACACTGAATATCTTCATTTTGTTCTCGGTTGGTTCTACAATATTTTGACATTTGAGAGAGGGAAAGGTTCTATTTAGTCTCTGGTTAGTACGTGTGTGTGTTCTCAGTGTCTTTTTAATGAGGATTTTTATTGGCATCTCCAAATCCCAGTCTTTAAAATAATACTTTTACATTCTTTACAACACCTAGACAAGTCATGTGGAAGAAGCTGATTAAGCAGTGACTAATTTTGGATAAAATCCAGCGTGCTGTAGGTACCAGAGAACCTGTTCCACTTCCTGAGAGAGAAGATGTGCTTGGCAAGGCACCCCCTTCCCTCCCTCACCTGCACCCACCTGGCCCTGAAAACACCTGGATAGGGAAAGCTCTTTGATGAAATGTGATTTATTGGCACAGGCTTGGAATTTTGAAGGGAAGCCTGCAGGACTCTGCTGCCAAGAATTCCCTCTTAATTTTGTTATCGCCGCCGTTCCTGGATCGCTTTTAAAACTCAAATATATCCACACCTCCATCTGGAGATGTTAATGCATTAATACAGAGCGGGGTGAGTGTCACAGGGAGGGGGAGGAACTGAGGCACAGGCAGATTACACAGTTTCCAGAGGCATAGAGCAGTTACAGGATTAATTGGTGCTAGGCAAGATCATGGACTTAAATATATTCTTGCTTTGAAGATTTTACTGGGAGCCTGCACAAATGTGTGACAGCAGAACTGGGTTTCAAGCCTCAGTGTAAATTATTATGATCAGATCTAGCCCACTTAAAACTGGTAGTTCATTTTAATTGAATTGTATTAGTCTGGACACTTTATGAATACAAAAAGCTTCGACCCTGCCAATTCATGCGGGGTTGAATGTGATTTAAATGGATGTGGATGGAGGTGTCCCCAAATTTCACCTCTCCTCTCTGATCTAATGGAGAATCTGTTCAACTCTTTTTGGGGCTGAGCCAAAGCCTGTTGACATTAATGAAGACTCTTCTCTCAGCTAAAACAAATGAATGAATCAGAGTGAATCAGACCCTTGTTTCTAAATTGTGTKGAATATGCCATGGAGAGCTTTTAATAAGGGCTGGGCTTGGTGAGGATGAGCAGTTCCTGGGCCATTTTGGATGTGCCCTGAGTGAGGCTTTAGACAAGGCCTAGCTCTCACTTTTGGGGTTCTGTGTTTGTTCTGTGAACATTTACTTGGGTCATTAAGTCTCTGATGGTTTGTGCMTGAGCAGAATTTGGGCTGTGATAGGTACCAGGAAAGGATTTTGTGGCTGGTTGTTACTGCCTRTGAATTGTTCAGGAATTGGGTGTGGGAGGTAGTGGAGAAATGCAGGACATTTATTTAACATGAGTTTTGGGCAGTTTTCAGAGGAAAAACTCTTCCCTCACCGAGTGCCAAGGCTTTTAGCTTGTGGTATTGAATATTTTTGTGTACAATTGTTGTTTTCTTCTCCTSTACAGGTGTGGTAGAATGATTTTCTAGAGCCATGTGTGTTGTTTGAGGTTTGTTTGAAATCTGCAGTGCAGGAAATGATGGCACAGTCCTTGGCTGGTGACCTGATCCACCTGAACTGCAGCCTGTGGGATTACACCAYGCTCAAACAGCTTTCCCTACAGCCATGTTCCTCAAGATTAATAGCTAATTAAACTGAATTTAGCCAAATATTTGTGCGTGTTAGTCCTGTACTGCACAAACAAGATGCAGGGAAACAAAGGCTTTAAAAATGTCCAGACAAGCATGTGCAAATGTCAGCTAACTCGGATTAATTGGCAATTGGGTACCTTGAGATGGAAACTCAGGGCTTGTCATGA